AATCAGGCAACCCCTGTGAAAGGGTCATTTGACCCCCAAAGGGGTCTCAACCCACAGGTTAACAACCACTGCCTTAGAGGAAGGTACAACTGCCATTCCACACACTGCAAATGGGAGAGCACGGCATTCTTTAGGGAATGCCTCTCTCTCTCTCTCTCTCTCTCAAACACACACTGTCATCGAGTTGATTCTGATTTGCAGCAACCCTATAAAACAGGGTAGAACTGCGTCCTGAGTTTCTTTCAGTGGAGCTCAGGCCTAGATGAGATGTGTCAGGAACCAAGAGCTTCACGTGTGGGTGTTTTGGTTTGTTAAACGTTTCTCTGATTTAGCACACGTTGTCCGGAGAGCCTAGTCCCTGGAGAAGGACACCCTCCTTGGTAAAGCAGAGGGGCAGAGGAGGAGGAAGCCCCTTCATGAGACGGATGGGCCGTGAGAGCCCCCGTGGGCTCAGACAGGACAGCAGTTGTGGAGAGGGCACGGGACCCAGCAGGGCTTCATGTCACTACAAGTTGGAGCTGCCTTGATGGCACCTGCCCACACCATCATGATTTTGTAGCAATCTGTTTGCACTCACGTTGCACTAGGACCTTCCATCTCGGCCCTGCAAAGGTTCTGGGGGGCAGTCTTTATCCAGGGCTGCCCTGCTCCAGTAGGGAGTAAGGCAATTTCTCAGATCGTCACCCGAAACATAATCTTTTAAGTGTTGATGTCTCTTCCTTGGATGCTTTTGGGCAGACAGGGACTTGAGCGAGGGGCCCAGAGCCATGGGGTTTGCTGTTGATGCCTTCGTAGAAACCCTCTCGCCTCACCCCCATACTTGACCCAGTTACTTAACCGAGCCCTTGGCGAACAGGGTGTAAGACGACTTGGGCAAGAGAGTGATGACAACTTGGGAAGAAACAATGATCTTTCTAAAATACTGAAAGGCAGAGAATGCATCAGGAGGCTTTGATAGGGAGAGCTGGGCGCCCTGGTGGTTACATGTCGACCTGCGACCCACAAGGTTCGACACCTGAAACCACTGGCTGCTCTGCGTAGAAAGGCAGAAGCACTTTCTATGCCTCAGTCACAGGCCCGGAAGCTCCCTGGGGCAGTTGCGCCCTGTCCTGTAGGGTCACGCTGAGTCGGCGTGGACTCGACGGCAGTGAGTGAGTGACCGAGTCCAGCACAGGACCCGTGGCTCTCTCAGCTGTGCGATCCTCGGTGAACCCGTGACCCTTCTGATGCCTCCATGTCCTCCCCCGTACGTAAGGTGGGACTCAGCGCCTACAGGGACTCCATGAGGCCCAGGGGGAGAGCCAGCAAAACTGGATGGTGAATGGTCAAAGCAAGGGCCAGAGTGTCACCCCTCACACTGTGCCGATCCCCATGCTTGTGGGGGCTCTGGGGCAGATGAGCTTCGAGTAGGAGCCCCTGGGGTGTCTGGCTGGGCTCCTTGCCTGCCTCCCTCGGAGGACACCCCCGGGACCTCCACATGTTCCCCAGATGGCCCCTGGCCTGCTCGCCAGCTTCCAAGAATAATTGGGAGCAGTTCAAGTCGCAACAGATTGCGAGGCTTTCCCAGTAGTGCGACGCCACTCACAGTGGACCGCCGGCTCTCCGGGAGGGGGCGGCAGGGACTCACTCTCTCCTGTCAAGCTGGGTGGTTCTGAACTTGGCCAACTGCATGTGCAGTATGAGGGGCTGACAAGTTGTCACATGGCCTCGCGCCATGACCCGACTTTGTCTGTGTGGTCCTGCGGTGTGATGCAGTCCCGGGTCCAAGAGTCAAAGCGCATGTCACCCCACGCTTCTCTGTTCTCTGTTCTGTCCCAGCCATCACAGAAGCCATTGAAGTGCCACAGTTTATGGGCCGCAGTTACCTGCTATATGACAACCCAGACATCCTCAAAAGGTAATACACGTCCTCAGGCACCTTCCTCGTCTCCTGGAGTCGGGGCTGGGGGTGGGGATGGGGGCAGGCCAGCGGCGATGTCTTCCCTGGGTGTCTGAGGACTTTTTCTCATTTCCCATGCCAGAAGAGAATTCCAAAAGAACGGCCTTCCATCACAGCCTCAAGGAGGAAAAACACGTCATACATTACAAATAAACACAGAAACGGGAACAAAACAAAAACGAACTAGATTTTTCATTGAAAAAAAAAATGTTGCCTTGCAAACAGCCCTGCCGTAAACCATCAACCCTTTCTGGGCACAAGGGGCCGGGAGAGTGTTCAGCCCGGCCGGGTGCTCAAGGGCCAGGCTCTGGGAGTGCAGAAAATTTGGCAGGCAGGAAGCCCAGGTGCTGAGTGGGATTCTCCCAGCAAGCACTGAGCAAGAGTCAGGGTGTGCTGTGGCCACTGTCCGCAGCTCTGCCCTGGGCCCAGTGCACAAGGACGCAGTGCGGTTCCCCCACGGACCAAAGAGACTCAGCCCTTCCCCGCTCAGTCATAACCTCTTGTGAGAATGATGAGGGAGAGAGAATGAGAATGATGAGCAAATCTTCATGAAGTGGGAGGTGGGCAGGGGAGGGGAATCCCATCAGCATCAGCCCAAAGCTGATTTCTATGGGGTGGCAGCCAGATATGCGGCCTCTGTTCAATCCTTTTACTAATTCTGACGCCAACGTTCCCTCCCACAGGGCAGTTCTATACTTCTCTACTGGGTTTGACAGTTCAGGGCCATGGTCACACGGAATGCACAGAGTATACTCACTTGGGTTATAAGGCTTATTAGGGCAGTAACAGGTTACAATTCAGGTTCAGAAATGCTCAAGATACAGTTCTTCAATCAGGATATCCTCTTCTGAGGTGTGCTCAAAAGTCAGGCTCTCAGCCCCTCAATCTGGGCCCTGCCTCGTTCTTTCAGGGCTTCCAGTAAGTGCCCAGAGGCACCCCACTCCTTCCTTTTGCCTGAAGGCACTCAGCTCTCTTGCTTCCAGGCCCAAGAAATCCACCATACAGTCTTGTGCCTCCTGGTTCTGCGGCCTATGCCACTGCTTCTTGTCCTCTCACTATGTCTGGGGTTACTGGCCGCTCTCCGTCTCCTGAGTCCAGCAGGTTTCCAGCACAGGGACCCTGGGTCCAAAAGACATGCTCGTCTCCAGTCTCTTCTCGGTGACAAGGAGGCCAGGTTTTCCGTGTCTGCGATGGCTCATTGTTAGCCCAGTGAGATGGTCCAAGTGGCCAATCCCTCGTTAGGGTTCCATACACCTTATTTGCATGGCCCCATCCCCACAAGTGTGCCATGCACTGTTTTATATTTATGATTTATTAGAAATTTATGTTTATCAGAAAGTTATCCCATCCCCTAGGTCAGTGGTTCTCAACCTTCCTAATGCCGCAACCCTTTCATACAGTTCATGTTGTGGTGACCCCCCAACCATAAAATTATTTTTGTTGCTCCTTTATAACTGTAATTTTGCTAATGTTATGAATTGGGCGACCCCTGTGAAAGGGTCATTGGATCCCCAAAGGGGTCATGACTCACAGTTTGAGAACTGCTGCCCCAGGGTAACTACTGCACCTCATTTGCATAATCCCACCCCTTCATTTGATGGATGTTACCAAAACTGTGGCTGGAAGGGTCTTACTGAATAATTCACGGGAGTGCCCCTCACATCTGCATCAACAGAAGCCCAGTTGCTCTGGTTCTGGCCAGTCCCCGGGCTGTTTGCACCCCACCCCTGTTGCTTCTCCCTCCTCCCCCCCTTCTTCCTTCTACCCACTGCACCCAGAGGGAAGTGTAGCTCCTGGTTCACTCCCGGATTGAAGACGCAAGAACTTCCCATCAGTGTCCCTTGGTCAGCGCTCTTCATCGGGATACCAGAGGCTACCCTGCTCTTCTTCCCCTGTAGATCTGCACCCAGGTGGCGCAGTGGGCTGAGAGCCACAAGGTCCGCAGTTCGAAAGCACCAGTTTCTCCGAGGGAGAAAGATTCGGCTTTCTACACCCGTGTAGCGGGACAGTCCGTGAAACCCACAGGGGCAGTTCTACCCTGTCCTCCCAGGTCTCCATGAGTTGGCATCCACCCGCTGGCAGTGAGTTTGGTTCTAGCTTTTGAAACCCGAGTAGTGTTCAGATACCATCATCCTCCTCGCTCCCAGCACAGTTGTAAACCAACAGGGACCCAAGCCTTAGGGAAGAGGTGGGTTCTTTTTCAAGGGGAAAATGGTTGTGAAAAACCATCCTAGGGCATCCTCTGACCCTGGTAACTCTGAAAGCACAGCAGGTGGTGGGGGAGGCTTCAGGTTCCTAATCCCCAAGGGTACTGATCTGTGTGACCCTGGCATGAGACTTAGGCCAAAGGGTTTCTTCAACCCTGCTCCCCTCCCCAAGGAGAAGAAGAACCCCGTGTAGTTCCCAGAAGATGGTGGCAGGGTAAAGGAGGACCAAGTCTCGGGCCCTGGTCCCTGGTGGTTGGAAGAGACTGAAGGGACACTGTTGAGAGCTGAGGGGAGTGGATGGGGGCTTCAGCTCAGGCCCACTCCAACTGTGTGTGTGTGTGTGTGTGTGTGTGTGTGTGTGTCTGGCTGCAGGTCAAGGTTGAGTTCAAGGTCTGGTTCAGGTAGATGCTTTGGGCTGCAAGTAATAGAGAATTGAGCACAAAATGTCTTACATGTGACAGGTACTTACAACTTTATAACAAGGAGTCTAGAGTTAGACTGGATCCTGGATTGATTAATTCAGAGAATCACTGCTACCATCAAGGATGCCGATCTTGCTCTATTCCTTCTTGTTAGCCTCGGTGTACTCTCCAGAGGCCGCAGTGCTTGTGGTTACAAGACAGTTCCCAGAAGATGCTCAGGTAGCCATTTGAAAACAACGACAAAAAGTTGAGTTTCTGTTGAGTTTGTAGCCACTCATAGCAGCCCAGACTTTGGGGTAGAAGTAGGCTCCACAGAGTTTTCAACGGCAATGATCCTTCCGTAGAAGGCCACCACACCTTGGATGGGTTGGCACTGCCAGCCTTTCAGTTAGTAGCTGGGCATTTACCCACTTGCACCACATAAGGATTAGGATGGCTATCCTACAAGGTAAACTTGATCTCCTGTCTAAATCTGTTCCCATCCATGGCTCACAGCTGAGTGCAATGAACAGCCCCCCACCCAGCAGGATGGGATGGGTGATAGGAGGAGGGGCACTCTCTTATTCGTGTCCGATTCATAGGAATCCTGAATCTTCCTGCTTCCTTCCTCGCCTTCAAGTCAAGGGCCTCCCACTTGCTCTCTTTCCTATGTCAATTCAATTCTGATCACAACAGAGAGTAAATGTCTGAATATATTCATAAGCATGGGAGCCTACTCCAGCCTAGACTGCACAGCCCAGGGCCTGACCTCACAGCAAGAGTCTCCCCTTGCTCCCAGTCTCCTGTTTCTCTTCACCCTTACCCGCTGCCCTGGCGCTCCCTGGGACCACCATCCCACTAAGCCATCTTCCTTCTTTGAGGCTCTGTCCCCCGTTTAGTCATGGCCCCAAGGGCAGTCCCCATCAGAATGGGCCATCCACTGGCATGATCACAACTCAGAGCAGTTGCTAACTTGAACTTCCTGAGAATTAGGAAACCAACTTTTGGTTGAGGCTTGGGGAGTCGTTTTCCAAGGGCCCTTTGAGGGACAGGACAAGAAAGGAGAAAGACAGGGGTGGGTGTGGGTGCTACAGCCTAGGACCAAGATGTTGGCCCAACTTTGACGCAAAAAGTCAAACTTCCGGACACAGACTCAAGGAGGGTGTGCTGCTGCCCAGTGAGCAAGCCAGACTGACACCCAGATCGGGATTCATGGTGCCCCATGCCCTTTCTAATCTCCTAACAGCAAGTGAAAACAATGCCAGATGACCTTGAGACCTGGCCCCTCTTGGCCAGCAGACAGACATGGTACCTGACAGATGCTGGGGGCTGGCGAATTCCGTGTGATTCTCAGTGTGTTTGCTTCCCCCAGGGTGTCAGGATCAAGGACAAATGCCTTCATGAGGTTTAAGACAACTGCCAAGGACGGCCTGTTGCTGTGGAGGGGAGACAGCCCTCTGAGGCCCAACAGCGACTTCATTTCCCTGGGCCTTCAGGAGGGAGCGCTGGTGCTCAGGTAATCGCATCGCCTGCTGCATTTTCTGAGAGAACAGATCCGGCCCCACAGTGGGGTCTGAACTTGCCTCCCTTCGGAGGGTTAAGAATCGGGGCCCACACCAATCTGATTCCTATAAAATGGAGCTCAGATGTACCTCCACTCTCCAACTTTGTCAACTGCTTTCTGCCACCAGCCATCCCCACCCCCATCTTTACTCCAACCAAGGCACTTTGCTCTCTGCTGGGTTGGGCGAACCATGGCAACAGCCCCACAGGACTCACGAGCCATCCCACGGCTATCTGTGATCTAAGAGGGAAGTAGCAGGCTACAACTCAGGGTCAAAATCAGCATGGGAGTAACAGGAACTCCTCAGAAGACAGGAGACGGTTCTTTAACCAGGACACTTCCCACCAAGCTCTTGGCTTTTTCTCAGTCCACTTGCCCTCTGACCTGCTTGAGCAAGTGTTACGGCTATTTTGGCTCTGCAATCAGGATCCTTTGGCTTACATTCTTTGGACCTGTTGTCAGGAGAGACCGTCCCTGCAGAAGGACATCAGGCTGGGTAAAGTGGAGGGGTGGCAAAAAAGAGCAAGGCCCTCCAGGAGATGGACTGACACTGTGGCTGCACCAACGGGCTCAGGCACAGGAACAATTGGGAGGATGGCCCAGACTGTGCAGTGTTCCGTTCTGTTGTGCACGGGGTCGCTATGGGTAGGAGCCGACCTGATGGCCCGTAACGAGACCCGGCTCTGCCTGGCAGCCTCCTGTCCAAAGTGCTCCGCCCTCTCTCCTTGCAGACAGTAAGCCTGAGGGCTCACTCTGCCATCGTGTGCTGGCAGGCTTCCTGGCTCCCGCTGCTCAGACCGCTACCACCCTTTCTCTGCCACTGGGTTCTCATGCTTGTCACTCTTGCTTACCATACCTCACTGCCCCATGTCATCTCCCATGTGACAGCTGTCTCTTCTGGGTCTAGAGCAGTGGTTCTCCACCTTCCTAATGCACGACCCTTTCATACAGTTCCTCATGTTGTGGTCACCCCAGCCATAAAATGATTTCTGTTGCTACTTCATAACTGTAATTTTGCTACTGTTATGAATCATCATGTAAATATCTGATATGAAGGATATATTAGGTGACCCCTGTGAAAGAGTCGTTCGACCCCCAAGGGGTCGCGACCCACTTGTTGAGAATGGTTGGTCTAGAAGTTTCTGGGTGCAGGAATTCAAAGGATGTGCACCATCCAGATTCTTCTGGCTCGGAGCCTGGTCCTTCTTCAACTTCTGTCCGATTAGTCCTTATAGACGCCTAACCAAAACACAAACAAAAGAAAGCCACCTCCATTCTCACTGGGAGTGTTTCCAACATGGAAGGAATGATGGAGGAGAGAGATCGATGGTAGGGCAAGGCTGCTGGCAGCCACGTGCGGGGACAGAGCTGGTGGCCAGAATTATTGCCACTGTCCTCCGTTTTGGTCAGGAGACTCCAACTGCTGGCGGCCCCGTGTGTTCAGGACAGAGCCGCTCCTCCGTAGCGTGTGGAACATGCCCATCTCTGGGAAGGCCATTACCAGACCTGTCTTGGTTGAGTTCGAACCGCCAACCTCTCAGCTAATTGTCAAGGATCCCTGCTGCCTGAGCAGGGGAACAAACCTTGGCTGGGAAGGCACTTTGGGGGGGACACGTCGCTTATCCAACCTCCTGCACAAACCTTGGATGGGAAGGCACTTTGGGGGGGACACGTCGCTTATCCAACCTCCTGCACAAACCTTGGATGGGAAGGCACTTTGCGGGGGACACGTTGCTTATCCAACCTCCTGCACAAACCTTGGCTGGGAAGGCACTTTGGGGGGGACACGTCGCTTATCCAACCTCCTGCATGCCCCTCAGTGGGCCCCTTCCCGTGCAGAGAAGGCAGAGACACGGTCTGGGGGTGCAGCCGGCAGCTGGCAGCCAGACGCCTTCTTCTCACCGTCGTCTTACCCCGTTGGCCCATACATCCACCACCGAACTCCTCACACCCTGCGTTTGGGCTGGCTGCCGAAGCCATTTTCCTGTGGTTTTCCTGTGGTTAACCTCACAGAAGCCTCAAAAGAGGGGACTGAAACCGGAGTTCACCCAGGAGGGGAGTCAAGCAGAGCCCCCCCGCACCCCTCCCAACACCACCAGCTCAAACCAGCTCCCCATCCGCTCCCGCTGGGCAGGGCAATTCCATCTGCTCAGGGCCGCCTGCAGCTCACATAGCTGTCACCCCTGGCTCCGGCGAGACCCCCACGCTAGCTCACCCCCTCCTTCGGCAGCCTTCTAACAGCTTTGCCATGTCCAGGCAGTTTCTTCCTTTGTTATTTCTTCCTCAAGTTTCTG